ACTATTCACAGCAGCACTATTATCAATAGCCAGAAAATGGAAACAACCCCAAATGTCCATTAATGAAAAAATTGTTAGCAATCAAAATGAAATACTGATAGATGCTATAATATGGATGAACCTTGAAAACATGTTAACTGAAAGAAGGCAGTCACAAAAGATCAGAACAGGTAAATCTATAGAGTCAGAAAGTTAAGGGTGGGTTGGTGGGTGTGAGGAATAGGGAGTGATTACTTAATGGGTATGGGGTTTCTTTTTGGGATGATAAAAATGTTCTAAAATTGGTTGTGCTGATGGCTACATAACTGTGAATACACCACTGGCCTGTACACTTTAAGTCAGGGCTGGGGAACCGTTTTCTTCTAAGGGCCATTTGGATATTTATAACATCATTAGTAGGCCTTACAAAAATTATCAACTTAAAAATTAGCCTGCTATCTTTAGTCAAACATTTAATTAACCCACCCCTAATGCCTTGGCAGGGCCAGACCAAAGGATTTCTCGAGCCTTATATGGCCCAAGGGCCGGGCATTCCCCAACTCTGCTAAACAGATGAATTGTAGAGTATGTGAATTATATTCAATAAAGTTGTTACAAAGACTTATAACCTAAGAAACTATCTTTCAAAAATGAGGATAATTACCTATTTAAAGCAAAAATTATAAACATGCATGTACTGTGATGTTTAAAACGTTGTAGAATTAATTAACACTTGGAGTTCGGGAAACGAGTTAAATCGGCTCGCGTGAATTGCGCGTACTCCGCGGGAGCCGTCTTTAACTCGGTTCATATAGATTTGCGGTGGAGTGCGGGAAACGTGTAAACTCGGGCCGATTGTAACTGCGTATTACCAAATATTTGTTTGTAATCCACCCTTTTGGTGGATGGAACAAAACCAAAAGACAGAGCCATCTTATATTTTGGCGGGAAATTCACCCGCACTCCAAGTGTTAAAATGTATAACAATAAAACAAGAGATAGGAGGGTTAAATATACTGTTACAATGTTCTTAAACTACACATTATGGTAATGTAATATTATTTGAAGACTAGAAGCCCATTGCACGAAGATTCACACAATAGGCCTTCCTTCCCCTGGCCGTGGGCACCAATTTTCCTCCGGCACCCAGGACCCAAGCCTTTGGTATGGCCGCAGCGAGACTTGGCTTCTCCATTGCAGCCACAGCAGAGAAGCCAAGCCTCTTCAGTCTTCACTCCGGCCAGAGCCTTTAGTCTTCAATCCACGCCTGCGTATGCAAATTAACCACCATCTTTGTTGAGTTAATTTGCATAGTCACTCTGATTGGCTGCTGGGTGTAGCGGAGTGACACCAATTTGCACGTTTCTCTTTTATTAGTGTAGATTAATGTAGATGAACTGTGACTGAATATATTTCAAAACTTAAGAGTAGCACTAAAAATCTGAGATAGATAATAATAATCTGATATTGGAGTTAAAATAGAATTAAAGATATTCAATTAATCCAAAAGAAGGCAGGAAAAGAAAAAGGGAATGAACACATGGGACAAATAGGAAAAAACAAGATGGGAGATTTAAAATCAATTATACTGATAACTACATTAAAAACTAATGAATGACATAATAAACACTCCAATAAAAACAAGTGGATTGTCAGACCAATGAAGTATCCTATCTAATAAAAGACAAAAAGGGTAATTGACCGCACCTTTGCTACGCTTCCCATTGGCTAATCAGGGCGATATGCAAATTAGCCACCAACAAAGATGGCGGCTAATTTGCATACTGCAGGCAGATCCCGCTGCGAGGCCCGCCTGGGGCTGGCGGCAGCGCAACCCCTAGCCACTGGCCGCCCCAGCCGAGATCCTGGCCTGCCGTGTGGGAGGCGGGGTGGGCGGCAGCGTGATCCCGAGCCGCCACCCGCCCCAGGGCGGATCCAGGCCTGTCGTGTGCGGGGCGGGGCGGACGGCAGCGCAATCCCGAGGAGCCACCCACCCCACGAAAGGGAGAGGCTGGCAGCTCCCCCCACCCCCCCCCACGCGGGTAGGAGCCCCGGGCGCAGGCAGCTCCTTAGAAGTGACACCGGAGCTGCGAGCCCCAGGTGCACAGCCAGGAGACCCGAACCTGCCTACTCGGAGCATCAGGCTTATGCTTATTGGAACTAGGCACCAATACATTAGATAAGTTATTTTAAAACAACAAAGAAGAAAATAGGTGTTGACCCCAGAACTATGTCCCCACAAGGAGTGGGTGACAGCCAAGAGGAGCGCAGGGCTGACACGCTGCGGGCGGCGAGGACGAACACCGAACTGAGGGAAGCAGCCGGTGCAAAGGCCCGGATATTTGACTCCATTTACCTGAAATGCTGGGAGCAGGAAGTGCACGGGCACAGGAAGCGACCAGTGCTTCCAGGGGGGTTTGAGGGGCTGGGGCCTAAGGGAGAAATGATTTTAGAGGAAGCGCAGCAGCTTGCGGGTGCAGGAGGCCTGGCTCCCAGGTCCAAAATCAGAAAAACAGCTCAGAAAGGAAACCTGAAGAAAGCCCTGGAAGTACCCAAAGGAAAGAAAGGTCTGGGCGTCTCCACGGAAGAGCAAAAGGGCGTGGGACACAGCAAGACGGGTGGCTCTGGAAGCGAAAAGGAACGTCAGGAAAGCGGCGAGCACAGGGGAGGGCGGGAGACTCAGCTGTGAGGCGGGCAGGCGCGGGGGTG